AATCATAACTGTGGTCACAGTCTTGTGTAAAACCAGGCTAACGAACACTTCAGTGTAGTTTGTAGAATTTGCCTAGATCTGAGATATCTTTGAGATAAGTGCAACACTCCCTATAGCAAAAAAGCAGCTGAATGACACTACAAAGGCCACAAGGAAACAAAAAACTCCAACTCCTCTTAGGAGGCAGAACCAGGCCTGCATGGCCTGCTCTCTCACATTAGCATTAAAGAAAACAAACCCGGTGGATTATGCCTTAAATCACATGTACTAAACACACAGCCATTCCCTTGTAGGACCCCTCAAGCAGGAACAGCGCAGCAGACACAAGAGAAAAGACAGCAGCTCGCAGTTTTTACAAGGACAGAAAAGCAGTTTCTGAGGCCATGGGAGAAGGGCGCGGCTGGCAGGGCAGTTATCAGAGCAGGGAACAATACACTGAGCTGACAAGTCCTATCTCTTGCCTTTCATCAGGAAATAGCAGCTAGTTTCCTTATTACCAGCTGCCTGGGCAACTCATTTAAGCTTCTTGGGAAACCAGGAGAACAATTAAGCTGGGAGTAACTCCCCTGAACGCAGCACACTTACTTATCCATATCTGAACAGCTCGTCAAATGAGATTTAAAGAAAGACGACCTTTGATTTAATGCTAATGTAGTCAATGCTCTTTGAATCGTCCCATGAGGGAATAATAATAATAAAAACACCCCTCTAGCACAATAAAAGGCAGCGTTAAGAGCAAACTAAAGCAAAGCTTGGCCCATTTAACAGGGTCACATTCGCACATTTGTTTTACCACAACTGAACATAACTAGCAGTGAATAGGCTGGAGGACTTCACAGCTTCTTCACTTTCAATTCAGCACAGAGTAGCAGTCAGGTTTTTTTGACCAAAAATACCATTTTGCTGAATTCCTGACACATGCCAGGAAGCTTGTTGCAGATTGCTGGGCTCTTCCTGTTTTGCTTGTACCCGGGAGGCAATACAGCCAGACATCTTTTGGGCATTTGATGGCAGTTTCTGCATTTGAGCTCCTTCCACTCTTTTTACAACTGACCCAGGTTGTTACAGCCTCTCCCATTCACGCTGCTACCAAAACATTGTTTTGCTGCCTTTTATGAAAGCTGAGTGGATGCATCAATAAGTGAAATGAATAAAGAAATAAAGGCTAGCGTTTCATGCCCTCAACACTTGAATTAGAAAAGTCACAGCAGGCTCAAAGAGTTTTTCAGTATAATCCTTTTAAAAATGAGTTTGTAAGAGCATATGCAAATATTTACCCTCAATCTAGTTCTGAATGCATTAGCAGGGTGTTTCACAGGGAAGGTGATTGCTTCACTCCCCGTTTCCTGAAGAGGTTCCAGCAATCCACCAAGGCTCCAGCAGTTAAACCCTCACCTGGACCAGCCTGCTCCCAGCCAGGGGCGGCTGTTCCCTCCCTGGCTATTGCTCTCCCCCTTCCACACTCCACTTGGTGCTGCAATCTGGAAAAGGCTGAGCAAAGTAGTTGCTGTTTTTTCTTCTTCCCATCCAACAAAAAAAAAAAAAACAATTTTACAGAAAAGAACCCTAGAGTTTTAAATCTCAGAAAAGCAATTTCAATTACCTTATATATAATTACATTCAACCTTTTAACTGCTGATTACAAAGTATTTTTAACAATGTGCTTCAAAGAAAACTGAATTACCTCCAAGGAACACACCCAATTGCCACTTTTACACCTGCAATCAATTTTGTTCACTGATATTTATATTTGTGCTTGACAATCATGGAAACATCCACAGTATTTGTGCTTGCAATTAGCACTGCCTGCAGTGAGAGGGAGGCTGATTCTAACAAATTAAATAATGAAACCCAAAAGCACAGCAGGGAAGGACATTCTGCAACAGCACTAAGCCATCTTCAAGTATTAATGACAATATCTTTTAGCACGAACAGGCAGCTGGGTGATTTCAGAGGGAGCTGCTTTAACAAGAAACAGTGTGATGCTGGGATGGAGGGAAGAAACTACAAGCAGAGACAGGGAGCAGGAGGTGCCCTGATGGTTCTGATGGAGCTGAGGGAGGTGTGGAATGGGGCGATTCGATCTGACATGGTCTCTTGGCTGGACCTGGCACAGACCAGTGTGACCTTTTTAGCTTTGCTTACATCAACACAATTCTTGCCCTGACGGGGTACATCGTGGCTGCCGGTGTGCTTACATCTCACACAGCCTTCAAAGTACAGCACTGGTGAGGCACAATTCACAGCTCGGGCAGTAAGCAAGCAGAGAATTAGGAGCAGGATCAGCCAGAGTCCTACCTGACCTCAGCTCCGCTGTGCTTCTCTGGATTGTTAGGCTAGCAAATGTGGCCAACTTTCTGCTTCGCTTCCTAGTTACAGTGCACTTGTGAAAGCAGGGATTTAGCCATGTTCCACAGATGACAAGGCTAAAACAATCTATCACCTCAAAGTCGTCTTTGATGTTTAACCAAACATCAGTTGTTATGAGGGCTGTTACTTCCATGAGATTTTCAGTAATTCTAAGAAAAAAAGCAAGATACTTTATTCAGTGTCTAAACTGGAAGAAGAATCAGCTAAAAATACAGTGATGCGTACTAAGATAATTTCTCTTGCGACAGAGCTCACTGTGGATTTTTCTCTAACACACTTTAAACTAGATGATTGACTGCTTCCAATGTGTAACTGAAAATATGGTCAACAAAAGGAAACTTTGGATTAAGGGAGCAAAATACATGTCTTCAGATTACATGCTAACGGCTCTGGGTCCTTCTTTGAAGCCACAAAATGCAATTGCAGATGTATCTTATCTTTAGATTCACACTCACTGTAGAACATTTGGGATAACAAATTTCACAGTGTAACAACCAAGCTCAATATACAGAAATGGAAACAATCCAGCTGAAATAAACACCGGGAAGCAGTTAGCTGTTTGTTTATTTAAGCAAACACAAAACTAGCCATTTGCAAATCTCATTAGGTTTGCATAACTTTCATTTCCATTATATTTTACCTTTTACCAAGTCTTATTATCTCCCAGTGATGGATCAGGCAGAAGCAAGTAGAACGACCAGTCCCTTCTTTAAATAGTATTAGAAAGCGTCAAAGTAACTGTGTAGCTTATTGGAATGAACACATACAAACAGGAGTTGAAGAACAACAGATATATATATATTTTGCACTATATGTATGTAAACATATATTGAAAAAAGTGGGAGAAAGCTTTCTAAATTTGTCTAGTGATTTTTCAGTAGGCAAGGAGGCATAATTTTAAGGAGAATGGTATAGTTTATTGGCTCAAGCTCTAGGAAGAGGGTTTTTTTCTTTTTAATTATTGTTACATAGTCTCCTCATTTCAATCTGACAGCACGCAGTGACCTCAGCATGGCATAAATGTCATTTACTCTCACAAAAGGCCTTAAGACACTACCAGAACTGTGTGAAGTAAATACCAGTGTCCCTAAGGGGAATGGCAGATTTGAGGTAAAAAAAGCTGCCACTAGAACTGGGGAAAGTAGCAAACAGCTGTTTCGGGAATCCAAGTATCCTGAAGATAAAGGAACAAACAGCTGTGAACTGCTGACACGATCTCTTACAACATGCAAAATTAAACTCTTAGTTGACTGAAAAAAGTGAAGTATCAAGTAGAGCTATGATTTTTTGAATGCGTATTGTATTCGAACAAGTTCTTTACTACATTATTTTCAAAGACTGTATTTAGGCCAAAAAGCTGCTAGGGCGAAGATCTAAGAAATACTGTTCGTCCTTTAAAAATCCACAGGGGCAAACAAACGGCCTTTGTGCTTTTCACTGTCTTGTACTACCTCCCAGCACTCAGACTTTTAGATATTTCCATTTAATCCAGTCAGCAGCTCTACTGAGAGAAGTCCCTATTAAAATCCTCCCCGTTCATTCAGTAACATTGTTTAAAGTTATATACCAAGCACACGAGAAACATTACAAACCTCACAACACAACTGAGATGAAATTTTCAAAGACATTTCTTATGTAGACTGCTGCTGCGTGACTTCTGAACGCACTGTCATCTAAACTTAAAAACATTTATATGCTGTTGATGTTCAATGAAAACAGTTGGAGATGGATGAGCAAACGGTCAGATGAAAGATACCAAAATGTCAGACAGCCTACCGACTGTTGTTGCCATGAGATCCAACAGTCAACATCAGTCTGATAAGCTATCCGACAGGATGGTACGGCCATGGAGATGTCACGACGGTTGGTAACACAAGAGGACATTCAGGCAGGATTGAACGAAATACATGTTCTCACACCTTGCTCGAGACCTGCCCTAACCTAGTGCAGGGATAATCTAACCTAAGCAAGAGCAAAATCTGACCTGCTTTGTGCTCATATGCCGCCTTTTGATAATGCTAATTGAAAGTCAAATGAATTCTTGTTACTTACCCCTAGGATAAAAATAAAAAACAACAGTTCAAAAATTATTAAGAGTTGTAATACATATACAGTAGCAGTGGAATGGATACCTACTTACTAAGGAGGGAAAAGGTCCGTTTCAATATTGGTTATGTCCACGTACATTAGAACTGGCACACATCAATTCATAACAATGTTTTTAAAAAAATCTGACTTTTAAAGCCTAAGGTTAAGGTTCTCTGCATCATTGCTGGGTTTGACATCACATCTTTACTCTTCCCCTCTCTTCTCCTTCATTGCCCACAGTACTGGGATCAGGGGCAATCATCTGAGACGAATTTATGATAACGAGTACCACTAGCTATTTAACTTGCCTATTTTAACCAGTGAGCCATCCTTCAAGCAAATGATATGCTTTCTACTTCCTTCTAAGTAAGGAGTTCTTAAGGAAAAAAAGAACAAAGGGCTTCAGCACCATTTGTGCAGGAAGGATGAGTAAAGCATGCAATTCATAGGATTAAGGCTTAATAAAGAAACTAAAGAAACTGAGCATACAAAAGTGGAGAGGAAAAGAACCAGCTTAAAAAGACCAACACAAGAAATTCTGGAATGATCAAAGATGACTTTATAAAGTTTTATCTTAACTTCATTCTAAATATACAGAATAAAAAATGTCAACTTCCGCATTTTGACATCAATCATCTCTGCTAACATCATGAAGTTTAGGAGGGTGGCTTTTCCAACAGAGAGCACGTGCAATGCAATGGGACACTTGGAGGAGTCAGATGGAATAGCCTTACCATGAGGGACATGCAACAGTTTGTATCCAATCTGTATTCATTTATATACACTTTGATGGTCTTGAAAGTTATGGAAAAAGCAAACCAGCCACCCTTCAAATCAAAAAGTTACCTTCAGGTCAGTCTGAAGTTCAATCAGGAAATGGAGAGTATTAAATCATCAGTTTTGGAAGTAATTTGGGTGGACAACATCTGTGTTAAACACAATTTAACATCACATTGTCCAGCCTGTATAATACAACTCAGACTTGTAAAGCATACCTTACCTTAACATTCATATGTTTGTCAATGAAACGTCTGCTCTAATATCCAAATTACTTTCAAAATTAAATAAAAACTTGTTAGAGTTGAAAATTGATGTTAAAAAGTTTTCCCCCATTTTGAATAATGCTGATTTTTAAACATATGGGAAGATGTGTCATTTTTCATGTCTGCTAAAACCCATTCCAAGGGGTTTTTTCCAAGCTCATTTGGTTTTTTCTTCAGAGTACATCTTCTGCTGCAGTCGTTTGGCATAGCTCTGGGCCATGGAGTTGATTATAGATAAGATAAAGTAACAAACCATGACAATCACCAATTTTTCAAACATCCATGATAGCCAGTTTTCCCCCTGAAGAGACAAAGACAAAACAGAAGGAGGGAAATGAAGATTAGTGGACAGCACAATGGAGAATTCTCCATTTACTGGGTAAAAGGGAAAAGCCTAACCATTTTTTTTTATTATGTAATTTATCAAATTAAAAACAGGAACCAAGTGCGAGCTGACAGGATTCCTGCAGGTCTCTCTGTAAAGCTGACTTTAGTCCCTTGAAAGACAATGCAGGAAGGCTTGCCAAATACACCGCAGGGCAGACGATGAATCCTTGATCGTTACCAGTGCGCTAGTGAAGTGATTTATTATTCCTAGTATTGTTTCGTCCTGTCTAACAATTCATGGGGTTCAGAATTAGCAACCCCTGACTGTCACTCCCTGTCATGTTCATTGCAAAGAAAACAATAAGGTCATTGGTTAACAATGGTTTTTTTTACCTAAACTGCACATACTGTGTTATCTTCCAATTAGTATCCGATTCTTCTCGTGTCACTAGAAGTAAATGCGATGACCTCGGCAGTCCCACTTCGAGCGTGTTCCATGGCTACTCTTAACTTGTATTTTTTTTTGTCAAAGGAGGGCAGCAATGCACTGCACAAAAATTACTTCAGTGTGCATAAAAGGAATCGGCATATTTAGTTATTCCGGCCTGACCCTCCCTAATTTAGTCTCTTTTTTTGGTAAGAAATGGGTAAAGAAACATTTAGAAGACCCTCAAGTATTAAATGTGAAGTGTGATGTGAAGTGTGAGTTAGATTAATGGATTTTATCTAAAAATGCCTTAGTATCCTAAGGAATTTCATGTCAAAAGTTGCTCTGTCTCCACTGAAAAAATTCAGGATATGTTTTTTAAAATACGTTGTATGAAAGGACACTTCTGCCCCTTTGTATGGACTCTACACACCATCTTTTTCTTTTCCTGTCGAACACTAAAGGCTTGGGGATTTTGTTTCTCTTACTGGCTGTTAAGCCATGGATCCTGCTGGCTTCCAAAGTATTGATGCTGCACACAGTTTGTTACCATTTTCACATGTAAATGCAACTTTTTTCTGCTTAAATTTCTCTTCAAAATAGGCAGCTAACAGAGGCAAGCTGTGCCATTGGCCTTTATTGTTTTCTTTATTCTCCAAGAGGTTTAAGTCCAGTTGAATACAATTACAGTATTATTTTTAATTCCCAGGTTGCTTTTAAAATGAGATTTTTATCTATTCCCTGGGCGACTGCAAATCTTTGAAGAACAGAATCAAGAGTTACATCGGTAAACCTGACAAGTCAAAAGACAGCTGGAGAAGGGAAAAATTAACTGGGGAGGGAGGCAGAGAGGTTCTTACCTGTGGCACGCCACTGTCAGATCTGTGGTGAAGTTTTATCCTCTGAGCTTCCAAATATTCTTGAAATGGCTTCTGAAGAGAAGGACCTATACTTGGAATAGCACTGATGCAAAGTTCATCCCAGAGAACAAGACAAAATAGGGGAGAAAAAAAACAAAAACAAAAAACATTTTTTTTTTTAAACTTACCACTTTGACCCAAACAGAACAAAGTTCAGACTGAGCTACAGCTCAGAAGGGCATTGCTGCTCGAGAAAGCAAATAACCACGAAATAAAGTGTACTTCATCTTTTTATCTGATACTTCTGAAAGGGACATATTTCCCCAGATCCTCAAGAAGTGCTTAAAAATAAAAATATCTCAAAGCAAACCAGTAATAATACACTGCCGGTAACAGAAAGAAGCGGCGAGCTAGAGCATTTCCTTAACGCCAGGGAGAAGCCAGCCGAGGCTGTGCACTGGTGCAGTGCTGAGAATAAAATGAATGACTTCTGAGAAGTCCCACATTTATCACCAGCAGTTCCTGTAAGAACTGGTTTGAACCGATTAATAAGGAAATGACTTGTGCTTGTGTCATCCCTCAGTTAAAAAAGAAACTGCTCGCCCTATGACTTGCCCCTATCTTCTCAAAGAAGACGGCCCCTTTCTCAAACTAAGTCCTTATTAGGACAATCTGTGCGTCATCCTTACCCAAAAAGAATGCATTAGCAAATTCTGCAGGCGCCTCCCACAAGTCAGTGATTAACAAAGGAACAAAGAAGGAACTATGAACCCTGTTCTGAATCATGCCATGGTTTATGGCAGATGACTTGCACAAAAGCTACAAGACATTACTAAACACCTTGTTCTTACATTAACGTTATAAAGAGCACGGATACGTTTGTGGAACTAAGAACCCTCTCCCATCTCTGCGGCGTAAAGGTGTTAGTGCTGGACAGACTCACAGCAGCCTCCAACTTCCATTCTGCGAATACCACAGCCTGGCTAGGCTTTAATCAAAAACAACTCGGTAATTTTTCTTTATCCACTGTGCTATTTAACAGGAGGTCCGAGGACCTTTAAGAATTGTCACAACATTTAAAAAAAAATATTAAAAAAAAAATTTAAATCCTCTACAGAAGAAATGACCACTAGCAACAACACTCGCTGAGCTGGTGTGGTGATAACCACAGAAGGCTCCCAAGGTTTGATCCACACGCGTACACCAACACCCCCGACTCCAGCCGTGGGAGAGTTCCATTACTAACAAACACCATTTTAATGTCAAAGAGAATGGGGAGTTTAAATTCCTTTTTTTTTTTAATTTTAAAGAAATTACTATGGTCTTCTACATTAAAAAAGTCACCTAAATGTCTGCTACATTTTTCATTCTTTACTCCTTCAGGGAGGATTTAGTAAAACACGCTTCAGACACCAAGACACACATACAGTTTCACAAACTGATCATCTCCTCTCCGAATGACTGCAATTGCTACAGGAGGGCTAGATCTCTAAAATTATTTTCTTCCTGATTTGACACTGATTTGTCCTTTTCCAGGATAAAACCCACTTAAACCCCAACAACTTTCTAATCTTAAGAATTTATGAAAATGCACAGACTGAAGAAACAAAGTAGCTGTCTCTCGTCCACTAAATCTATTTCCTTCAATAGCCAGCGGCAATTTTTTTTTTTACCATATTTACAAGAAAAAGATTGCTTCCCTCATGATTCACCATCACGATGATACAAATGGGTGAGTAAATTCTGTGCCCGGACTAGTAAAATTTCAGAAGAAAAAAAAAAAGCAGAGACTAAAGCACGTCTCTTACACATTTTACACAAAAGTATGTCGACTTTCACAAATGATTTTGTTTTTCAGAACCCTCCCTTACAAAATGGACTTTATTCGTGGTAAAAATTCTCCTAATGACTCGCTGATCAGTACGAGTCACACCTTTTGAAGGGAGTTACGTTTTGAGGTTTCTTTTCTTTTTCAAATGGCACTTGGAAGCCCGGAAAAGCTACTGAAAGGTAATAGTTTACTTTTAAACTTCTGCATGATTATGAAATGAGGAATATTTAAATGATGAGAGATGAATGATTAACAGAATGGTTGTTCAAATGCCTCCATTTTTTTCTGAGAACTGAACTAAGTCAGTGCCCAATTAGCATTAAACACCAGAAGTGAAAGCCAAGTTCAGATGGCTTGAAGAGATCCTGGTGCATCAACACTGTATTTCAAATTTGTTTTCACTGTAAGTATTCGGTTTGTTTGGGTTTTTTTTCCTTTTGTGAGCATGACTAATAATTAAGTGGAATGGTTGTTCAAATGCCTCCATTTTTTTCTGAGAACTGAACTAAGTCAGTGCCCAATTAGCATTAAACACCAGAAGTGAAAGCCAAGTTCAGATGGCTTGAAGAGATCCTGGTGCATCAACACTGTATTTCAAATTTGTTTTCACTGTAAGTATTCGGTTTGTTTGGTTTTTTTTTTCCTTTTGTGAGCATGACTAAGAATTAAGTGCACGAGATTCATTTTATTAAAGCTGTTTTGAAGAACTGTAAGATCCTGAGTGCGAGGACCTTGGTTTCTAGAACTCTGCAATGTTTTGCACGTTCACAGAGCCTTTAACACTGAAAAAGGTGCATAAATTTAAATAAGGAGTAAAATGAAGCAGAATAACATCTAGAAAATCATGAAGCCACAGTACTAGGAATAAAATTCTTGAAATCCCATTTCAGAAGGACAGTATCAGTTACTCGCACTCTTTCGACAAACTTCAATCATTTAATCAACAAGCTAACATACATGTAACCTAATATACAAAGTGTAAACATCCTCTCAGATCTAGAAGTCTTAAAAATCAGTTGGCAGTTTATTTAATTACAAACAAGTGAGTGGCAACCCCCCTCTCCGTCCCAAATGTTGTGAAGTTCAGCTCACTAACCCTGTTCTTATCAAAGGAGAAGGGGGAAGACTTCAATATAAATTTTCAAGGATTACATTCCCACCCGGCACAGGTACATGGGCAGAAGGAGCCGATTTGCATCATAACTCTGCGCCACTTTGCCATGACTTGAAGACACACCTTCAACAAGCTGCTGCAGTTTCAGGACTCTAGATGCAAACCGCAGGCGTATTTACACATCCGACTTAAGAAGGGAAGATGCTGGAAGATAACCCTGTTTGTAGAATAATCTAAAACCAATTCCTTGCCTTTTCCTTTGAGAATCAAACCTATTGTCTATGAAAGGACAAGAAAATGAAAGGACCTTACTCCACGACAGAACTTAGTTCATCCACAGTCTCCATCTGCCAAAACAAACCACACAGTCCCCCTCAAACACACAACCTGCTGGCCCTTCTTAAAGGCTTCCAAGGTAGGTCTTACTCAGTGCTTAAGGACTTCAATTAAATAATTTTAAAAAAAAAAGTCATTCACTAGAAGCTGTCTGCCAAAATAAGCAATGAGATATATTTCACTAGTTGCTATCATTGCTATTAATTAATTTTGCCGTTAATCAGCAACAAGGACACACTGCTAGGAAGAGAGGTGCTGTTCTTGTGTATCCTGTCCTTTCAACAAGATTGACTTGAAAAACAAAGATTTACCACAGTTTTACCATAACATTCAGGGAAACGTGCTTTGGATTTTTTTTTTTCCTCAGGAAAAAAAACCTCTGAAGAAATTTTGATTCAGAAGAAATTTTAGAAACAGTCAATTTTTGTTTTAATTCATTCTGATTCTCTGCTAAAATTGAATGTTTCACAAAAAATTGAAACCGAAAACAGACCTCCAAATAATTGCACTAGCCTTTGGTGCAGCCTAAATTCATTACTATCATAACATTTCAGTAAAAAACATTACTTGCATTCTAATACTACAACATAAACACCCACCAAGAATTTTGCTTCGCTGAACACAACACTGTTGAAGCCTGTTTTCAGAAGTATTACCTGGTATTTGTAATTAAACAGATGCATCTTTGATTATTTCTTTTTAATTAAGAGCCACAATTTCTATCCAAATGAAAAATGATACAGCTTTTTTTCCAACAAATAAAACAAAACTTCAGACAGAGTATTTGAGGCACCACGCTACACAGATTCAGCAAAGTTGTTCTAGGATTAGTTTAAGAATTACACCAACGATGAACAGATTCTGACAGTGAGCCCTAAAGCTTCCATTCCAGTTACAGCAAAACTGTGTTTATTAAAATACACTGTACAGGGTATTAATTTGCTTTTCAAAGAATGGCTGTCAATATGTGAATGCATGTCACTAGTCATGAAGTGGTAGGGAAGATTCCTGGGGAACTTATCTTTTTAACAGAAGCTTTGGAACTACAGGCAGGAGTTCTCTCAAGTGCCCGTGGCTGAAGCACCAAACCAAAAGGAAGGGGGGGGAAAAAAAAAAAAAATTTCCATATGCCAGCTTAACAAGAAGTAGAAAGTTATTCAGTACTTCAGTCAATTGCATTTTTACTAATATTAAAAACACTTCTTTAAAACCATTTCATCATGATGTTTGCACTTTTGAAAGGCATATTTTTCATCTTACAAGATCTTTAAGAGTGCTGGTTACTCAAGTTATTGAAATTCCATAACCTATCCTTTTAGAGTTTGTGAGCACTCAAATAACTACAAGCAGTGCTAAATGCTGAAGTACGGTTCTCTAGCAAATGCTGCATCTTTGAATCATTTTGATAACATTTCACAAAAAAAAAAAAATCTATCAGTACACAACTTAGGATATAAAGTTCCTGTCTTATAAAAACCTCTGCACGTGTGGGCATTCACCTACTTCTCCCGAGAGAAAGGTTCAAATGAGCAAGTACTTCCAAGAAACACGGAGCTGCCATTGTAGACTCACATTTTAGGGACGTTAATACAGTGAGGTTTTACTGCTAATGAAACTTTCTCATTTGTAAGAGGCCTCTGACAGCAAGTGATGATTAAGCAGCTGATTAAGCAGTTCTTAAACCCCATTTATTCTGATGGAAATTAAAAAAGTAAATAAGAACTTCAATGGCATTAAGTTCTGAATTTCCTACCCTATTCAGCAGCTCAGGCGAACAACTGGAATGAGTACCTCAGTTCTGATGATCAAGAAACATTAAGCG